CTGTTGACCAAGTCACAGCACGATTTTATGAGTCCACAATCATGTTATCTGCCATAGTGACTCTCGGAACAGACAAAAATGTTATTTAGTGTGAACCAGACATAAGAGAAAATGGCACTAGTGCCCTAACCAACTCGCCAGAGGGTAAGAAAGCAGTGGGGGGCAGATGGGTTTATGCAGTTAAGAACAATGTTGCTGGATATGACAAATACAAGGCACGATAGGCATGATAGCCAAAGGACACAGTCAAAACATGGTTGAAGACCATGAGGAAACATTTTCTCCTACTGCTAACCTGACTAGTATCAGACTATTGATGCAAAACGAAGCACAGGAAAACAAGACATCACATGGATGTCCAAACGGCCTACCTACACGCACTAATAGATCGTGAGATTTACATTGAAATAACTAGAGGGTCATGAAGCAAAGTCTAGGACAAAGAAAAAGTTGGTGTATAAGCTAGAATAGTCAGTATATGGACTAAAACAATAAGGCAGACATGGAACAAGATGCTGCACAAGTATCAGAGTGAAGTTTTTGTGCAAAATCCAGCTGATCACTGTGTTCATACAAGGGAAACAAAAAATGAGTGGACATGTTAATGTGGGTTCATGATTTGATCATTGCTGCCACGGATGAAAATGAACTGAAAGTTGTGAAGGAGATGCTCAGAGTGAAATTCAAGATGAAAAGACTTTGGTAAAATTAAACATTTTCTTGGTACTGAATTTATCCAGAGCGCAAGACTCACATCTGTTAACAAATTAGCTCTAATATTTGTGTTATCTATACATGGGGACACATTTTGGTGCTTGGTGCTGAGCTCCGACTTTATTCAACTTTTTTATATTCACAGTTAAGTGTAGTATGGCAGCCTCTGTATGTGTATGACACACCTATCCATTACAAAAATATGAAACAGCTCCACTGGTCCAGTCCAACAGATTCAACGATGTGTCAGAAGGACAGTCAATAGCAAGATGGCATCGTAGTTCAACTGCTGGCTGGTACCACTTTTTATAGGTACAATTGCATATAAGGTGACAGGGGGCGTCTGTAGTGTAATGGATAGTGCCGGTGCCCCATGTACAGAGGTGATGCCTCGCTGCAGCAGTCGCAGGTTTGACTTTGGCTTGCAGCCATTTACTGGGGCGGCTGTGGCTTAGAGGTAGAGCAGGCTCGTCCACCAATCGCAAGATCAGCGGTTCGTTCCCCGGCTCTGCCAGTCTGCATGTCGAAGTATCCTTAAGCAAGATACTGAACCCCAAATTGCTCCCGATGGCTGTTCCATCAGTGTGTGAGGTGGCACCTTGTACAGTAGCCTCGGCCACCAGTGCATGAATGTGTGTGTGAATGGGTGAATGTGACTCGTAGTGTAAAAAGCGCTTTGAGTGGTCGGATGACAAGAAAGGCGCTATACAAATGCAGGTCCATTTACCATATATTAGGATAGTTACATTATAAATAATATAATATTATGAGACATAATATAAGACACATCCTAGAAGATCTTCACAACTCCCTCAGAATGGATATCATATTTTCCTGTCATCTATAGCAGCAGGAGCCGTTCATTCATTCAGTTCTTAAGGAACTACTCACTTTTTTCTTTAAAACAACATTGTTACACACACAGATTATATTTGCGTACACACACACACACACACAGATACATATTGACATGCACACACAGACTTATACTCACACATACATAAAGTTTATGCTTTAAATAAACTTTTTCTGACCGTCAGTGCTTTCTAAAATATTGAACTTTTCTCTCTATCATCTTCACTCTATCCCATGTTGACTTTCAGTGACTTTTTGCATACTTTCAGCTACGTCAACCATTCAAATGTTAAACTGTTCCAATCTTTTAAGGATGCGTCTGCTATGACTGCTGTTTTTTTTTTGTTTGTTTGTTTTTTTGTTTTTTCTAAAGATATTTTTGGGGGCATTTTTGCCTTTGACAGTTAAGCGTGAAGGGGGAAGAGAGAGAGGGGTAATGACATGCAGCAAAGGGCCTCAGGCTGGAGTCGAACCTGGGCCGCTGCAGCAACAGCCTTGTACATGGGGCGCCTGCTCTATCCACTAAGCCACCGACACCCCTGTTTTTCTCTCAGCCCTCTAAGGCATCATCTCAACTTCGAGGTTTGACAGTATTAATATTTAGCCTTTCGCTTTTTAAGCAATGTTTATAAGCACTTGGCTTATTTATGTAAAGTTCCTCACAATAGTGGCTCTGGTCACAGAGGTTGAAATTTTGCTGGGTTTTCAAAAAAGTATTATGCAGTTCAGCTTCCATTTCTGCCAGATATTCAGATTTTTGAAGCAATTTGTTTTATATTTCTGCACTTTCAGCATTCACATGCATTTTCTAGTCGTCTGAATGCTGTTTCAGCATCAAAACTACTGAAATCCAAATCTTTATTATTATGACTTCTTACATTCCTTTGTCGGTCGACCACTATTTCTGCATATTTCAGCCACAGAAACCATTCAAATATCAAAATGTTGAGCTCTTTAAGGATATTTATGCTTGTATTCAGCATTAAGATATTTACCTTTTTTTTTTTTTTTTTACAATGTAAGTCCATAAAGAGAGATTTGGAATCCTGTTAAATATACTCCACTTTGAAATGCTACTGCTTCCACATACTTTCAGCAACAGACAACCACTTTTACTTTCTCATGCCTTTATGGTTTTACATTTTATGACCTAAACCAATTGTAGCACTCACTATTTTCATTCTTCATACATAATTTATACATCAAAATGTAGATATGTCTACTCTCAGATGATATGCCCATTTGTAAATAGGACTTAAAGTTTTTGAATTTTCTGCCTCAATGCAGAAAAAGATCCCTTGCCTGACCCATTGTCAATGATTGTATTTCACTTCATCAAGTTTTGAGCAAACCCAAATGTAAAGACTTTTAAAACAGTAATTTCACAGACATTTTTGGTGCTAACATGAATAAATTTCATCAGTACAACAACATATGAATTTGAATGTATTTTTCAATCAGTGTATTGGTGAAAGAGAGATAGAGGTACTTTTAAAATTGAAAATCTGAAGGTTTGATATCCGTTCACAATCAAAAAAGTACGTTACCATGTTACCCTTGCACACAACTGAACTGCCTGCTGTGTGAGTGCGTCCGGCGGACACCGGCTCTTCACCTGTTTGCTGCTTCTGCATGCCACGCTGAGAGCTGTGGACTGACTCAGTTCCCCTGGAAGCTCTGAACCTGAACATTGTCTCTCCCTGTATTTATTAAAGTATTCAATTCAAGTTCAGTAGCCTATAAACTATTCCACTTGTCCCTTGTCATGTTAATTTTAATTTTATTTTCTACAGAGCGCCAGATCACAACAGAGGTAATTTAAGGTTACCTTTCATATACAACAGGTCAATACCTTGTCCTTTTATTAAACAAACTAAATAGCCTGATGTTATTTATCTTATTTACACAACGACATGTCAATTCTGTCTCTATGTGGTCACGCGTTTACAATTCTCCTCTGCTCGCTGTATTGCGCACGGCGGAGTTTCGCCTCAATGCACACCTAGGGCTGGGTTAAAATAATCGATTCATCCAATTCAAATTGATCTTCACTGGGATTACCCGACATTGATTCGTAAAATCCAAGATCGATCTTTCAATATACACTTATTTCCGCGGATTTGTGAAGCTGTAACACCGGTAATCTCATGAGTAAATGAGCCGCAGTTATGAACGACTGTTGTATTGAGAAGCTCCACATTACCGGGTCTTTAATCTGTAACTGTTAGCTTACTTTTGGGTGTAATTTATTATCATGCTGCAGCGTCTCCTCCTGCTGTCTGTGCATCCTGGCTTCTGAGCCACTTTTATGCACACACACAGACACACACAAACATGGAGTAAAGATGCAGCGGCGGAGACAGAAATGGGAAGGTAACTTGAGCTGACAACTACACTTGTTACTGTGAGTGCAATAAAACCTCCTCGAGAAAAAAGCCAATACTTTATCAATATACCTGATCAGCTACATGTAAACAAAAAGTGATATTTCAATCTGCTCTGTCTGCAGTCTCTCATCCAGCGCCGCCAATATTATGTTATAAACAAGCATAGAGCGCTTTCCAGCAAATTGTTGCTAACAAGCTAAAACAACAACAACTGTTTATGTTAATGGATTAACTCAGTTTGTCTCGTTTCTTAAAACGTACCCGTGGTCATGTGACCTGCAGGCAGTGATTCTCCTCAGCAGCAGAGGGAGAAGCAGAAAGGACAGCAGGACTGATACTGACTGATGTCTGTGTTCTCTATTCTTTCTAAACTTGACTCAGTATTGTGATGTCAGGAATATGATTTATTTTATTGACATTTTTATTTTATTTCCAGTGAGATATTAAGTTCATACTGTGACTTTGCTGTTTTAATATTACTGTTGCGGCGCTAGAAACATTTAGTTCTAAAATATTCAGTTTTATTCCTGTTGTGAATTTATTGTTTAAAAAAAAAAAATCCTTGTAAACGTTACATTGTTAGTTCTCTGAGAATCTCTTTCACATACTAGAAAAAATTGATACTGGAACTGAAAAATCTCCACTCGAATCAGAAATCAACCCCCAAAAGCTGTAAACCTAGGGGGAAACACTGAAGCATTAGTAAGTATGCGTGATTTTTAATCAAGGATTTTTCAGCCAAAGTTGAAACAAGAAAGATATGATAGGTTACAGTGTGATTTGTCCTGCCTGCCCCATTGAATTTAGCAGAACTTAAACCAAAGTCTGGCTCTTTGAATACAGTCACTGACGCCATGTCCTTTTAGTGTTTGATATTTTCCTTGGTCTTTCACACAAATCTCTCCTCTGGTGTTTGGGCCCTAATGAAGGCTTTTTTAAGCACCAGAAGATTGTGACAATTAGTAATGCTATAGGCTAGCTGCAATATATGAATGATATGAGACAATAGACATTTACTGATAATCTTTTCTCCCTCTGTTCCAGAAATCTTCTTGGGTTGGGTGCAGCAGGATTGTGCCATGATTCCCCCTGTGGTGGTTTTGCTGGTGCTCCTGTTGCTCTCTGGAACCAAGTCCTCTCTCCAGGGAGACACTCAGGAAATGGGAAACATTGAAGAGATCTTGGAGAAAGAGTTTATCTATGCATCAAAACGGCAAAAACGTGCCATGGTTGACCACAGCGTTTCCCAAACAGACAAATGTTCTTACACCTTTTTTGTCCCTCAGCAGAAAAACAATGGGGCCATCTGTGTGAACTCCAAGGAGCCTGAGGCCATGCTGGAGAATCGGGTCAATAAGCAGGAGCTGGAGCTGCTCAACAGTGAGCTGCAGAAGCAGCAACGGCAGATTGAATCGCTGCAGGAGTTGGTAGCAGTAGATGGGGGGGTGGTCAATGAAGTCAAGCTACTGCGTAAAGAGAGTCGCAACATGAACTCCAGAGTTACACAGCTCTACATGCAGCTGCTGCATGAGATTATCCGCAAACGAGATAATGCTCTAGAGGTGTCACAGCTGGAGATCTGTGTGCTCAACCATACAAACGAGATGGGGAGGCTAGCCTTACGCTACCGTGACCTGGAACATAAGTACCAGCATCTGTCAGCTCTTGCAAGTAACCAGAGCGCTCTCCTGCTGCAACTAGAGGAACATTGTAAGCGGGGAGGATACTCATATGGTATAGTGCAGGACAGGAGCCGCGCTGCCCATTCACAGCCTCCTCTACAGATGCCTATACTTTCACCTGGAGGCTACAGGCCCTTCCACCCACCTACCTACACCCGCTACACCAATAAACCCATGACAAATGACATACAGAGTGACCAGAACTCCAAAGCATTACCACCTCCATTGCCCACAATGCCAAGTGCAACATACAGTTTTACGAGTGAGCCCTCTGGTAAGTAGATGACCACACAAACACTTGTATGTCTTCCTCTAGGATCAGGGGACACAGACCACACATTGTCCAATACTTAACAAAGCTGGGGAATTGTTTTTTCTACAGCGATAAACCTTACTGACAATGAGGATCACAGAAGCCTTTTTGAAAAATTACTGCAGCTGCAATTGATGTCAAAGTCGCTATAAAATTCTTACACATCTTCAGTAACTTGTTTGTGGTTGTAACTAGTTAGTTTACAATAATGCAATCTTAGAGTGAACATAAATATCAGAATAAGAATAGAATCAGCTTCATTGATGATACCATTTTCACATCAGAATCATCTGTAATTGATCTAGTGCCACAAAAAGACATTTGTCACTGCACGTCACAATTCAAACTGAGGAAAAGTTTTTGAAATCATTTTATTTGATCTTAGCTCATGACTTTTTTAACACACCTTTTAAATATTATGGTGCATTTTAAACTTTTAAAGCACTGTGACCAAAACAGTTGCAGATCCTGGCTGACCAAAGTATGTTTACATTTACAGTAGTATTATTCACCAAAATGTATTTGTATCATTGAGGTTTAACCATAGTGTTGAATGTATTTCCTTCCTCATAAAACATTTGCAAAGCCATTTTATTCTGTGCTGTTTACATCTATGTTTAGAAGATTACCGTATTCTTTTCTGCTTCCTTTGTTGGCGCATTGCTGTATAGGGTGGGGTAGATAATATTTAATTTCCTTTTCTGCCTTATCTTTGATTGATATTAAATTCCAGCATCTTTTTTAGGAGAATAGTCACTGTAAGAAAATAAATTATATCATTATATGCAGACGAGAAGGGAGAATTGATGGGGATATGTCCCCTCAGCTGTACCTGAGTTATAGGAAGATGATACTTTGTGCTGTAATGTAATGCATTTAAATCACACAATCACACACACAGACACAGACACACACAGACACACAGACACACACACACACACACACACACACACACTGTTACAGCATTGTAACTTTACAGTAAGGCTGTCACACACAAAGCTTTCCAGGACTCCAAGGTGGACAAATGAAACAAGTAACCACTGCATACAATCATTCGGTGAGATTTGAATACAATACAGCAATTTAAATGTGTTGTTTCTGTGTTTCCATGTGGTCTTCTATGGTTATCTAGAAATATAAAGGTTTTGTTCATGGTAATATTTAGTGCTGCCAGCATCACAGACATTGGAAATTATTTGTCATAACTGGCATACATAATACATGGTCAACAATGATTTCACAGGAACACTATGTTTACCATTCTATTTGATGTTGCAGTGTCTGTTACTTGCACAGGTTGTTAGAATTGTAATAATCATGACATTAGCATGTTAGTGAAAATGAATGCTAGTCATTAAAACCTTTGTAGATCAATATGCAGTATACAGTTTTATCAGTCAGAATTCCATCTCCCCTGCAGGTCCTTTCAAAGACTGTCTAGAAGCTCTGCAGGGTGGATACACCACCAGTGGCATGTACCTCCTGAAACCAGACAATGGCAACCGATTCATGCAGGTTTGGTGTGACCAGAGACAAGACCCTGGTGGCTGGACTGTCATTCAGAGACGTCAGGATGGTTCTGTGAACTTCTTTAGAAACTGGGAGACGTACAAGGTGATAACAAGTATCTGAGCTTGGAAACATAATGTTCTTTATGTCTTGTAAAAAAATCTGAAAAATCGAGCTGCAAAGATGTCAGCATCCATTGCATTAAATGGAGACAGGGTGTTATATTTTAAGCTCAGAATCATTTACACTTTTTAGGCAAGACTAAGAGTCTACAGCCATGCTAGCAGCTCTGTGAGACTATATGTAGGCACAGTAGTGCTTTGAGCTAAATTCTAATGTCAGTATGCTAACATACAAAAAAAAAAGCCAATACCAACATCCAGATGTTACATTAGTATAAAGTTTACCATCTAATTAGCACAAAACAAAAACAGGGAAGGCCGATGAGAACATACGATGATGGTGCTGGACGAAAAGTAAGAGAACCACTTAAGTCATTACAATTCATCAAGGAAACTAAAAAGAAGGAACGGTCATAAAGTCAATGACAGCATTCGAGGAGCCAGACTTTGGTGTCAGTTCTATGTAGTTAATGGGGCAGGCACTGCAAATCACTCTTTAACCCATCATATCTTTGTTGTTCCAACTTTAATGGAAAAAAATGCTCCCACCAGATTAAAAAACACACATTATGTGATGCTTACCGATGTTTTTTTATCTAAATATGCTTGTTCGTTTTCTTTGTTATTGGTCTCCAAACAGATCATGGCTCTGTCCAGCAGAGGCTGAGATGCAGCTACTTGGTCAACTGGCATCAAAGTCTGACTCCTGGAACACTGTCACTGACATATAACCTTTCCATCTTTAAAGATCCCTTGAGGGGAATATGATTGTGTATCAAATTTCCCGTAAATCATTAGGATACATTAAATAAGAACCATGAACGTCTGTGCAAAATTATGTACCAGTGATCAGTCAGATGTTGAGATATTTCACAGGATGAGTGATGCGTGAAATTGTTATTCTTTCTCTATTTCAGTCTGGACCAAAGTGGTGCACTTACTGTTGTGTACTGATAAGCACTTTCTGTAGATAGGACACTAAGAACAAAGAAATACACAGACTTTACATAAATCATGATGTAGTTTCTTGAACATGGCGTAAACCAAGTTAATGGCCATGTTCTTTGGAGGAAAAAAAAGTCCACAGTCTAAGGCAGAGGATAATTAGTGTTTATGAAGTCAGTTCAGGGCTGTTCTACTTTTGATTCTAGACCACGTGAACATACAACCCTTTGCTGTTTTTTAGATAGTAATGACTAAATAATTATATTCTAAAATAAAATAATTCAATCTTGTTATTCTTAATAAAAAATAAAAAGAAGCAATCAGAAAAAAATCAATGAACAAAACTGTGAATAAAGTTGTTATTAGTGATGAAAGGAATAAATAGGGAAACCAAAGAATAAAAAATCCTACATCTTTGAATATAACAGTACGCCCAGTGCTTAATTTGTAAAATTAGAAGTAGGGGAACACTTTGAGAGCAGTGTTCCCCCACTCCCAAAAGTGGGGGAACACTTTTTTAAGCAGCACCCTAGCCGCCTCACTGCACAACTCCAAATGGAATGGCTGTGACATCTAGTGTTGTCACGGTACCAAAATTGGGACCCACGGTACGATACCAGTGAAAGTATCACGGTTCTGAGTAGTATCACGATACCACAGCAAAAATGAGGCAGATGTGCCTTTTTTCATTTATAAAAAGATAAATCACTTTTCNATGAGCCGCCTCACTGCGCAACTCCAAATGGAATGGTTTCGACATCTAGTGTTGTCACAGTACCAAAATTGGGACCCACATTACGATACCAACGAAAGTATCATGGTTCTGAGTAGTATCATGATACCACAGCAAAAATTAGGCAGATGTGCCTTTTGTCATTTATAAAAAGATAAATCACTTTTCTATAACACATCAATGATATTTCAATGGAATAAATTACTTATTGACTTATTCATACTTCAAAAACAGCATCAATAAGTGATTAACATAGGGGGGATTGAAATAAAAAAAATAAATAAAATAAAAATCAACCAGCCCCCCCCCACCCCGACAAATAAAGAACAGTCCCTTCATAAGTAAAGAACAGTCCCTAAAGTTTGTGGGCCGTTACCAGCCACAAAGAGAGAAATGTGAAAGGCTCATTTCTCCTCTGACACCACACATGCCGCCACGGCTCGGTTGTCCAGGTACTACTGGGCAGTCATGACGCCAACGAAAGAGGAAATTAGGCTACTGGACCTTGAGTCGGACTTCTCTGTCACCGGTAAGCCGTTATCTTGCGCCGCGGAACCGCCGTAGGCTATTTGACCGCCATATTCCTGTCTGTGACCCCCGTTCAACCCACAATCGCACGTAGAGCTCTGTGGAAAACAAATCACTGCCGACAAGTAAAAATAAATAAATAATAACTTTCACTGCTCAAAGATACTAAAATGTCTGGAAAACAAACCACTACAGCAGTATATTGAGTGCCAGGTGTCCAGCGCGCGCCGTTATTGGATGGTGCATGGACACTCACCCTTTTGCGATTGGACTTTGAACTTATCCCACAGTAGTGGTACGTGAGGCACCGCAACACTAGTGACATCAGCCAATACTATATGTAGTTTTTAGATGTGAAAAGTTCTAGACCCATGCAATTTAGTTCCGGAACACACCAGGGCCTTTTCTGAAAAGATCCTGGTATGCCAGTACGTTCCAGCTCAAATTAAGCACTCAGTACGCCAAATATACAACAGATTAATATTACAAGTTATAATCGGGTAAAAAAAACCCTGATATTTAATCAATCCAGATTACACAGTTTCCATGGAATGAGATAATTTTTTTTCATAGATTCTTGCCACAGCATTGCGAATTAGCTGTAACTCTTGTTTCAATGGTCAACATGCTTTTTCTTATTTTGTACAATATATGAATATTACATAAATTGAAAAGCATTCTTTTTCATGTTTCATAAGAGAACGGATGCATGATGTTAATACAAACAAAAATGCAAACATTGTTTTATTATCCTTAGGATATTTATTTATTATTATTATTATTATTTATGCACATAGCATGGATACAAGACGTAGGGGTGCTGAGGTGCTTTAATATCTCCTAAAACCTGGTAGTATAAAAACCATCAATATATTAAAAAAAACATCCAAAATGTTATGATGGTGCATGCACTACAAATGCATTACAGTTCACTATAAATGCCCTCATAATGCACTATACATGTGGTTTTCATAGAGTGTTACCAAAATCTTAAACTTAGGGGTAAAACTACTGTGTTTCTTCTTTCTCACTGGGATAGAGGCTATATGTCAGTCCCTCCAGAAAATCTTGCGATCACAATAAATAATGCAAATTCAATGAAAGTCCGCAATATTTGCGGGGGCTTGCAATTTTTCAAAAGTCCTTCCGCATTTTTTGGCCAACTGGAAGTCATCCCGCGCTCGACGTCATTTCAAACGTCATCAGACGCGTCATCAGACGCGTCATCAGACGTGTCATCAGACGTGTCATCAAATGGCATTGCAGTATGGAGAAACGCTCTGTACTGACATAAGAATTTGCACTGTTTAAATGCATACAATATGTGTTGAATGTATTAAAATGTTATGTTTACAGAAGATGTAGCTTATATGTTGTTTTACAGTCACATTGTGTGGTTTGAGAGCTACAATATTTCACTTTCATTTCAGGATTTTTTGCAACATTATTGGAGTCCATGTTTTGAAACTAATTAAATAAAACTAAAGAAGAGAACTATAAAAAAAAAACATTTGCAGCTATTTTTGTAATATTCAGTATGATTATTATAGCAAGTGATTACATTACTTATTTTTTTGGAGGTAGTAATTAAAAAAAAAAGTCACTCCTTTTGTCATTAGCCACAATTTTTGTCATTTGCTGCAATTTCCCGCAAAAAAATCACATAAAAATGCCACAATTTTTAAATTTAAATTCAAGGGGTTTTGGCCGCAAATTCAAGTTTTTTTTGCCGCGAGATCCTGGAGGGACTGATATGTGTAGTACACAACTAACAGTAGACATCAAATAGTTCCATGATATAGTTGGAGAAGTTGGTAACATTGCTATTTGTAGTACACAGACATGGGGAAAAACAAACTGGTAAATGGTAAATGGACCTGCATTTGTATAGCGCCTTTCTAGTCTTCCGACCACTCAAAGAGCTTTTTACACCATGGGTTCTAGTTTTGCAGACCGGGCGAGGCGGGGGCGCAGCGCACCTGCGCTTCGCCAACTGGGTGTGGCCAGGCGGATTTTTTACAAGTTTGGCACACCGTGTGCCTGGCTCAGCTACTCCTCTTTCCCACCTCCATCCCTCCTACCTGCGCAAGTCGGAAAGAGGGAGGAGAGAAGGCGTGGAGTGGGTTTTACACACATCACACCAATCAAATGAGCCCCTCTCCTCGCCCTTAAATGTGCCGCACAAAGGCGTAATGAGAGTTTACTCAATTCGCCATGGCAGAAGAGAGCAGCAGCATCAGACGGCCAAACTTCTCCCAGGAGGAAATTGATGTTTTGGTCCGGGAGGTCCAAGCTCGCAGTGTCCGAATATACGGAACTGCGAGCAGACCTCCACGGGCTGATGATGCAAAGGTAGCCTGGGAGGAGGTCACCACAATTGTAAATCAATGTTGCGTTTCTCTCGTGCGCGCGCGCTCTCTCTTTCTCTCTCGCAGTCTCACTCTGTTTCTTTTCTTTTGGCTTTTCTAAGATGACAGATGCTGAATATATACTCCCTATCTGATGATGTGGCTGTTTGTGGTTGGCTGAGAGGGATGTGAACTCATTAGTTTGCAGCTGTGTTAATCAAATCAGGTTGGGTTTCCATTACGCGTGCCAAACGTTCCAAACGGTGCCAATCCCCTTTGATCTGACATCAGATGTGACGGGACAGTCGATATAGAGATACATTTATGTGCTGATTGCAGATAGTTGCATTGAATAGTGTTTTTTGGGTATTTATTGCATTGTTAATGTGCTTGATATTCTGTAAACCTGCCTGTGAGGTTTTGGTGACG